AAATTTAATTTAAAGTTAATATATAAGGGAAGAAACATCATCGCAACAAAGTTTATATGTAATTCTATATGTTTTTGCTATAAGTTTATATATAAAAAATTTAGTTGTGACAAATCGGTTGACTGATATTAGAAATATTATTAATTGATGTTTATTAATATCAAAGAAAAATGTTTTTATTTATCAAAATACTATTAATAATCAAAGGAAATGCCCTTAATTTTCTTTATAACAACATTTATTATAAGATTGACAATGCAATTTTTAATAAGAAAAAGACCAAAATACTAACTTCACTTTCAACAATACTATAAGTTATATCTTCACATCATAATATTACAAATCATCAAATTTCTTTATTTAAAATAAATAATATACTTTTTTTAATAAATAAAAGATTATTATTTTTTATTTGTTTGATAACTAATAGGTAATATTTGTTCGACAATATGTGTGCTTTAAATATGAATATTTCTATTTATATTTTTTAAAAAATAATTTGGCAGTTATCTAGAGAGCTATGTGATACAGAATACAAGATTTATATATAAATTACTGTATATACTGTATAAATTCTTCAATTAGTAAATGTGGAGAGATTTATATCTAAAACTTTTTTCTTATTAAGTAAACCACTCTTATTAGGCTTATAATAAAAATTGTAAAGCTCATCAAGATGCATTTAATAATGATAAGAATGTTAAAATCGGTCTGGTAATTTTTAAGAAATCTTTAAAAAACATTTCGCTGACATATAAAATTTCTTTAATTTTTTTTAAAGAAATTTTATATGTTAGCAAAACAGTTTTGAAAATTTCTCAAAAACTACTAAACTAAGTTTAATGTTTTTATTATCATTAAATGTCTTAATAAGCTCTATAACTTTTATTATAAGCCTAAGAGTAATTTATTTAGTAAAAAATTTTAAATATAATCTTTTTATATTTGGCTCAATAGTAAAATTTATTTATAAAATTTGCAAATCCTCTCTAAATAACAGATGGATTGTCTATTAAACTATATACATATTTAACAAATAAAAGTTATTTAGTGAAATATTTAAGAATGAATTATCAGTTTTAATTCTGGTCTCTATTAGCTCAAATGTTTTTAATAATAATTTTTTTTGAATGTAAATAGATTTGATAAGAGAACTAAAATATCAGTACTATCAAGATCATAGATCTTAAACATGCTGAAAATGAGATTCAACAAGAAATAGCAATTTTTTCACTTAAATTCTTAGTATGTAACTAGATAATTCCTTTTTATAACTCTGTGATAACTTATTTTAATATATATAGTAACTTATATATTAAATGCTCTGCTGCAAATGATATTATAGTTCATATCTCAAGAATCTCATTTATAAGTTGTTATAAATAGTAGTATAAACATATTTGTGGTAATGCTACCTCAATTACATTACTACTGTAGTATACTATTGTAACTCATTGTAATGCAAGTGATTTATTATGAAAAAATATATAAATAACCTTTTTTTTTTATAATCAAGCTTAGCTTATTTGGCTTATCACTTTTATTAGATTTATTAGGATCATATAGTGCTCTTTTCAAGGTGCTCCAGACAAATACATTCTGAAAAAGATACATTCTAATCATACTTGTGCCTTTTGAGCACATAATTTAAGTAGTCTGCCTATTACTAGGTTCTATACTAGATGCCATATCTATAATCTACTATTATTTAGGTTACCCAATTAAACTTTCTGATTCAAGTTTCTTATGCCAATCCGTCTAACTAATCACCCAGAACATGTGATATATTAGTCAGTTCAAGTTCCAGAATCGTTGTGTTCCATCTATAGGACAGCCATTTCTAACGCATCCTCGAGTGCATTAGTCAGAAGTAGAACAAGAGATTTATTTATTTAATGATAGAAGGAAAAACTGATATCAATGATGGAATGGGAAGTTCTTTATTTAATAATTAAAATCGGATCTCTATCACTTTAGGTCTTGATAAACTACATACATACATATTCAAAAAAAATTAACTGTTAATAAATATACTAAAATTGACATCGTTATCAAAATGATGAGTAACACAACTAAATTATATACGAGCAGAAAAGTTGCTAACTAAAATATAAGAACAAAATTAAAAACACTAAAATTTTAATTCGTTACACTACAAAACAAAGTGTGTTAGTTTTATTAACCAATTATTAAGTTACTAAAAGTGCAAATACTTGGACTATTGATTTATATCAGTCAATCAGACGTTCTATAAAATAATTTGGTGGACGGGCCGGGACTAATTTTAGGCCCAGCCCACTGTTGTAGGCTTTTTTTTTTTTACGGGCCGGGCTTGGGCCCAAAAATATTTTGCGGGCTTGAGTTTGGGCCCAGCAAAGCCCGGCCCAGCCCGGTCCCTAGTTATCATCGTGAATGAAACGTGTACTCGTACAACTACGTACATACGTACGTACGTATGAAAAAATATAAACTGAAGAGTATAGGTATTACAGAAATATGCATTGAATAAACCAACATGTAAGTAATGTATGCTATTGTTTGTATAAGTTATATATAAATAAAAATTATGGATGTATGGTTAGCAAAACTTAAAAATTTATCTTTTATAAGTGATCCCTTTTAATAGTTAGGTTAGTATAGTTTATATAAATTCTCTTAAAAGCGAACTACACATACCATCTTAATTTCTACTATACATACTTTATTATCTATAATTTGCTACATACTCATTTGCAAGGTAGGTCAGCTGTTTAAGTATTACTATAATCAAACTCCTTTTAACATGATACGAAGCTCCTTCTTGTTTGATGGTTGAAAAAGACTTCTATAAAAGAAAATTAAAAAAAAAATAGGAAAGCCGTTATAACAACAAGGGTAGGACAAAATATATGAAGCCATTATGTTACAAATTTTATTACTGCGCTTAGTAATTTCTGCGGAAACCTTGCATATTGTACATACGTATATACGTACGTACGTATGTATATCATTTTATAGTGTATATATATGCATAGATGTTGTACTGAATTATTGAACAGGTTTCGCAACAAATTACTTATAAATACAGTACGTACGTACTTATCCAAAAAACCTTTCGTATTAGTGGATACTATATCATTTTTAAAAGATTTAATCATGCATATTCCTCACGGGATTCATGTGTTAATATTGGAAAACTCTTCGTTTACACTGTCTGATCTCCTTCATTTGGCTTTATCTTGTAGTCAATGGGCAAAATATGCCCTTTCTTATTTATGGAGAGCTAAGAAATTTATGGACAATGATTCTCTTCAACGATTTATATCAACCCTTTCTGAATCTAACTGACAAAATTTATTATTTCCATATGGTGAATATGTAACAAAAATTCAGCTAGATGAAGCAGATAAACAACTTTCAATATGTATCGATGCTACTTTAATTATTTTTTTAGCCAATGCTTGCCCAAATCTTAAAGACATTCAATTTAAATTTTCTTCAAAGGCTCGTCCTGATAAACCTTGGAAATTACCTTTGAATCTTTTAAGTGATAGATTGATTCGTATCAATCTAACCACTTATGAACATGTAGTTAATGATGTTGATGCTCTTGATGATTTTGACAAAGTTGAAAACATTAAAAATGAAGTATCAACTCCTCAGAACTTTGCTCGAAGTATTGCAAATTTATTCACCACTAGTTCTAAACCAAAACAAATTAATTTTAATAATAATGATGTCAATAATAATTTTGATGCATTGTGCGAAGCTGTGCTTCCCGGTAATATTAATAGCATTAGGTTATATTATTCGAGAATGACTCTGAATATTTGGGAGAGGTTAGTTTTTATTTCATCTTTAATCGATTTTGTACATTTTTCATTAATCTATTATTAACTTACATATATCGGATAATGTAGATTCACTAAATGTGCTGGTAATTCTCTTCTATCTATTCGAATACTTCTCAATCATGCTACTATAACATTTGAAGATCCATCAGAAATTGCTATCTTATTTGGCAAATATTGTAAAAATTTAAGAAAATTTGATTTAGAAGCTCTTCAATGTCCTCCAATTTCTTATTCAGCAATGTCTTTTATGTTTGATAATTGTTTAAAGTTAGAAAAGATTGATGCACCTATTTCTGGTGAGGTATTAAATATAATTCATACTTCTAAATCATTAAAATCAATTTCCTTTAATGATATTGTTCAAGGACAATCTTTAAAAGCAACTTTTAAAATGAATAATCTTCAAAGTCTTGTTTTTTTGAAGATTGATGGTTCTTGTAACCTTTCATTTCTTGAAATGTTTCCAAATCTTCAATATATACAAATCTGGGATTTTCCTTCTTTCAACTATGAATCTTTTAGGAGAATTAGTCAAACTTCTATTAAACAATTGGACCTTTTAAAACCTTCAAACATTTCCGATGAAGTTTTAACAATATTCGTTTCGATGACTAAGTTAATTAATTTCACTATATGTGATAGACTGCCAAATGTTACCCAAGATGGTTGGTTATCATTTGTGAATCGACCGACTGGATGTCCATCATGGGTTGATCTTTCAATAGGTGATGGTAGAAAAGTTAGTACTGAATTTTTTGAGATTTTAAACAAGAATCATAAAAATTTGGAAGCTTTAGTTGTTAGAGGGTTAACTGGTGAAAATCTGGATGACTCAGTAATGCAAAAATTAAAATTTAAGGGTGCTTGGAATCATTGTAAAAGAAGTTCTCATTTACATTTACATTGGCCTAAACAAGAAAAAAGAACTAATATTGTTGAAATATGTAGTTATAAGAGTTATTAAATTTGAACTGTTTTTTTTTGACGATTTAGTAATATCTTGTAAATTATCCTTATTTCTTTGTTAATTGGACATTTGCAAATGTAAGTTTAATATATTAGTTTTTAAAAAAATTTGATAATTTAAAAACTAAAAAACACACTTAGTTACATTAATTGAATTTTTTATTCTACAGTATCGTATGATACTTAATTTTAACCGCTTTGAAAAAACATTGATAAATTATATATTAAATAAAAATTACAAATTGATAGTTTTTAGTAAAGACTACATTTTTGAAAGTATAAGTGTTTAAAGGTTACAGACAGTATATGATATCCATTTTTTCGTAAAGTGCAAATTTTATAAATTAAGCAAAATTAAAAACCCCACTTTCAGATTTGTTAGTAAGATAAAACTGCAAAAGTTCGTCTTTAAAATTTACTATATATAAAAATAGAATATCCGTACATGAAATTAACCAATCAAATTCAACTATCACGTGATTATACCACATGATTATACTATCTTTTGTGTTTTCCAACGCCAGTAAAAATGTTAAGTTTTACTCAACTATAATCTCCAAAAACAATTCCACTTTTAACATGTCATGGTTTAACATTCTGAATTCAGTTCTTTGACCATCGTTCTCTATATCTTCCTTATCTAATCCAATTGAAAGTAATTTCTTATCAATATCATATTTGACATTTTTCAACAACTTGCTTCCTAAATATGCCTTAGTACCACATATTCTTCCATTATCTGAATCTAAATAAAATCCACATTCGCCATATCCAACCAATTGAACTTTGTAAAATATCCTACCCTGCCGATTTTCCGCTGAAATTACTCCACTTTCATTAAATGAATTTGTTTGTCTAACACTTTCGCTAATAAATTCTGATAAAATCACTGCTTTAGACCCATTGTATTTATCAATTAACCCAAAGGATGCAATCTTTATAGTGAAATATCTGTTATAACTTTTTCCAGTTGAATAATCGATTGGTGAAATTGTTACAATTTCAAATTCTTCCGCCCTCACTATTATTGAAATAGGTTCTTTCATTGAATTTACCAATAGAGCTCGTTTATTCTTAAAAAAGTATAATGCATATTCACGTATAAAATCTTTATGATTCTGATTATTGCCTTTGTCAACTATATTATTTGTTTCTAAGCCATAAACATCAGTTAAATAAAATAAATCCAATAAAATATGAGGTCTACAATTCCATAAACCAAGTACTTTGATTTTATTGTTGCGATTACATATTTGTAACAAGTTATCGACTTTTGTAAAATCCCGAAATAAAGATTGAAGTGATGGTAACGCTGGGTTTTCGCTTTTTAAAATTCTCTGTGGCAATTTTGTACTTAATTTTGTTGATGAGGAAGAGGTCTTACAAGACGAATTTAACGATGATTTGTACGTCTTATAAGTTGGTATGTTGACTATACACTTTTCGAGAACATCCAAGTTATATTTATTTGGTATATCTGTAATGTACAATGGGCCTCCACTAATTGCCCTTGCTGCAGCATGATATTCACCAAATCTATGGTGTGATTGAAACATATCCCTAACAAAGGTAATATTTGACATCATAGTGAAATTAATGAAATAAGACTATGCAATATAATAAGTTATGAAAATAATGATATGAAATATAATATCTTACCAATCTAATAAGCTATGCATTGTACTGGTCCATATGCTATTAATTGTGTTTACATAAATATGCCATGTATGTGATTCATAAATATTCGGAAAATAATCATCACTATTTCTATAGCAGCATATATATTATATAAGCATAGATATTAAATTCATGAATAAAAGGTAAATACCATATTAAAAATACCTAAACAATGGCCTACTTATAGGCATATCATCATTCGAGCCTGAACCAGACAAGACTTGTTGTATAATATTAGGACTATGCGCCATACAATAAATTATTCGATTATCAAAATATTCTTTACTATTTGTTTCTAAAGCATCATGATATTCTCTCCACCATCGCCGATGCCTACTTTGACCGTAATCAATTAAATCAAAGCTTCCTAGCGAATCAACTTTTACCATATCAACACCTTGATCTTTTAAATAATTGTAAAAATCATTGTAAAACTTATGAATATCTTGTGGTATAACAAGATGGATTATTTCATCCGAATGTTTTACTCTTTCTATTCTGTAAGAAGCTGACAATTTGGAGTTTGGATCTACACCATTCCAATAACCCCAAAATGCATGCCTAGAGAATTGGAAATTAAGAAATTGAATTAATATTTCTTTTTAACATGACTAGATTAAACCGATGAAAAAAAAACGGTATTACCATACACCAAAGTATTTTATATATGGAAACCATTCTTTAATATTTTTTATCATGCTCTTAAATCCATCTGGGTAAAGTTCGACTTTAGGTTCAAAATTTTGTAATTGTCTATTTTTATTAACTTGTTGCCAGCCATCATCTAATATGAAATATCCAATATGCACACCAATATGATCAAGAGAACTTAGAGCATCAAAGATAAGTTGTTGGCTTCCTCTACCTTCAAATCTAATTTATAAGAAAGAAGTGACAATTTATGCAGTAAAATCTATCTAAATAAAGGGTGAAAGAATATAAGAACTCACCCGTTATAAGTACAATATCCAATATGATCATAATCAAAACGTTCTTTCGTTTCAATACTACTAGTTGTTTTGGCACTATTAATTCCATTAATTTCATTGATAAAATTCATACATGCTTTAGCAGTCATATATGGATCATTTCCACGGCCTACAACAAATCTTGCTTTACTATCTCCTCCATTATCATTGATGATAAATAATATCAAACCTCCTTTATGATCTGATCGAAAACTACATATACAACCATCGCTTGCCATAGGGACCAGTGAGATATAATGACCAGATGATTGCTGAATTAATATGTAAAGAATATCTTTATGTTGTATATCCAGCTTTGAAATGCCCGTGACCGGTATCATCCACCAAGCTCTAACAGCGTTAAAAAAATTATATAAAGATGAATCATTAAATTACGAAATATTTTTAAAGAAATTGCATTGGATAGATAATCATTAAGAGAGGTAAACCGTTGTTAAAGGGTATAAAAAATACAGAAATAGTAAATTTAATAGTAGAAATTGTCAGAAGTTAATATAGTTCCTTTACATTATTGGTTAGTTTAAAAGAAGTTTTTTTATGCTAAGTAAACTCCTTGGGTTTCTAAAATAAGTTATTTCGGTTCTAATAGAGGTATAGTTATTAAATTCAATTAGTAGATTCTAAGTTATTGGTATTTTTCTCTTCGTAATTATAAGATTTTTACTTTCGGGATTCCAACATTATATGAAAGTAACAGTAATTCGCCCATTTTTACTCATAAAATTTATACCCTTAAACTGCGATCTACCACGTACGTAAATCATATTTATTGTCACGGATGATACTGAAATCGGATGATGCTGAAATTTGGTCCTATTTTGATATGAAATTTTAAATTTTTTTGGGGGTGTTTTTTACCGCTTTTTCTTTAGGGTTAGGTTAGGATTTAGGGTTAGAATTTATAATTAAAAAGTATACGTGGATTTTAGCAGGTTTTATATTTTAAAATCGAGACCGCAGATTTCAGCATCATCCGATTTCACGATCATCCGCGACATTTATTAAATATTATTTTTTCCTTACGAGTCAATTAGAATTACTTACGAAAGTCTTTGTAGTACAACATACTGAACCAAATCCCGAATACCTCCAAAATTTATGCGGATTGGCTGTCCATGATTGGATTCAACACTGCTCGATACACACCAACAATCAACATCTCCTTGTAAACTATACCTAACTTTCTTTTCATCAATTCTTTCATAAAAGATGGATCGATTTAAATCTTCTCTAGGACCTGTGTTATTTTCTGTTTTGCTTATGAATATTTTAGCGTTTTGACCTTCATTCGCGCTTATCCACTTCCAACCTTCCCAATCTTCTCTTTTGATTCTAGCAGTAAATTCATACCACCCTTCATTAATATCAATAGTAGAAATTACAATTTTAAAAACGCGATAAGACTCATCAGGATCACAGCCAACTATGATTTGTTGTTGTTCTTCAACCAATTCTATACTTGACCAACTTGGAATTTTCAAATTAGTCCATAATTGAACGTATAATTTATTGGGACGCGCATAAACATCATAATCAAGAACCCAAACTATGACAGTTATAGGATTTGATCGACGGATAAATGTAGTGGAAAGAAGTGATGGCTGTACAAATATTTTCATATTTTTTAATTTCTTTTTTTTTTTGGCGAATATAATTATCGTTATTATAATTAAAAAAAAAAATCGCGTATTTATATTCTGGTAGTAATGTTACACGGTACTTGTCTTTAAAATGAAAATATTAACTAATAAACATGTGAATTCAACGTTTTATGTTCCCATTACGTAGGATGTGCGTACGTATTTACAGGATTTGCTTGTTTGCGTAATGCAAATCCAATGAAGGAAATTAAGTATAAAAAATTAACTAACGCTAAGGTAACAGTAAGGGTATATATACACAATATAAAACGTTTATACTTGGCGAGTGACGTACGTAACTCCGAGATAGTCTACACTACTTGAGACTATCACTATTAATGATCTATAACCTCATTACATCGGGACTGTTGGACAAATATCGGGAGGAGAAATTTAATATTATTCACTAGTCACTCGTAAAGGAATTCGGGAAATTATTATTTGGTGTATCTGAAATTTGGTTTATTCCTTGTGCCTTTAGTACTTTTATTTACAGAGTAAATTATTCGTATTTGAGCACCAATATGATATATACGTCCTATCCCTCTAATACTATCTGAAAGACCATTCCCTCCTATCGTTTGCGACTTGATTGGTCTCATGCGACGAAAAATGGGCCAGAGTACGTTTACTTCCAAGATCTGAACAGGTCACATTTTCTAGTATTACACCATATTCATTAAACATATCTATAGAATCTTACATCGCACTTTTTTAGTATGTATCACGAGTCACAAAATATATTGAATCAAAAGGCAACTTATATCTTCGCCCCGGATTGATGATTCAACTTCATTAATTTTTTTTAGTTTATAAGATGCCAATTTTATCAATAATATTAACACGATTACGCTTTATTTGTTTTGATTTGCACTAAAAAATAAATATATGATATATAATAAATATGTCAAACCAAAAAAAAATAAAATAGGATTAAATAAAATAAAATAATATAGACACTGTAAAAGTGTCGCTAAAAGAAAACCCGAAAATTTAAATATGACATATATTTAAATTTTCGGGTTTTCTTTTAGCGACACTCAAATACATAATAAATGTAAAATCATTTTTTTTACAAATGACAGACCAAACTGATAACTCATGAGAGTATAATTATATAAAAAAAAAAAAAAAGATAGCATTTGTTGTATTTATAAAGCTCATTTATAATTTACGCACATCGATTACTATAACCTATTCATTCAAATGCATTCTCTTCAACTCTTGTATCCCCTGTTCTCTACTAACATGCCCAACATATCCCAACTCTTTTTTAGCACTATCAGAATACAATCGATAATCTCGGAACAAGCACAACAAAGACTCCCTGTTCACACCATCAAACATCCAACGTTTACTATATCCCAGCAAAGGTATCCACTCAATAAAGGTGACGGCACCCCAGATTAACCACTTAGGTGGCCTAAAAGTCTCGAAAGGTCTTGCAGGGTTGACATCAGACACTGCACCAACATAAAACCCCACAAAATCTTCCACTTTAACTTTTCCATTTGAATCTTCAATCTCATAAATTTTCTTTTCTTTTATTTGATCAGTCTCGAATTGATGAATGCAAGAAAGAAAAATAGCTTCGCATGCATTGGTGACATGTAAAATCGATATTTCCCAGCACTCAGGAGTAACCAACCATAATGGATTTTTACTCAAATTTTTTAATTTCGGTAACAACGTAGTGTCATCTTTTCCCCATAACCAGCCTAATCTAAGGATGATCACGTTCGAATAAGTAGATTTTAAAATTAAATCCTCGGCAAGACATTTGGATTTTGAATATGGCGCCCAATCAGGCAGCGCATCTTTTGAATAATGATTACTTATAAGGGCTGTAAACGATGAAATGTAAATGAAACGTGGTTTTTGTGGTAAGGTGGAAATGATGGAGAGGAATTGTAAAGTTCCCTCGATATTGACTTTTTCGAATTCGGTAAAGTAACCCCATGGTTGAACCTACAGGTTTAATAAAAAAATTTAAATAAAGTCATGATTTAGATGTAAAAAAGCACGTTCGGAAAGTTTAATGATGATATAAATTTAACCTTTGAAGCCATATGAACAATGACATCAACTCCATTCAATCCTTCTCTGATGGCAGCTTCGTCATTAATACATCCACGAATTATTCTAACACGTTTTTTACCATCTTCAATAGCATTGCAGGCATTTAATATATATTCATCAGAAGTGCTTGAGCGTGCTAAGACATTGATTGTAATTTGTTTGTCTCGAGAGAGCACGTATCTTATAAAATTACGACCTAGAAAACCCGAGCCGCCAGTCAAAAATAATTTCATGTTTATTATTATAAAAAATAAACCGATTAAGGACAAAAGACATTCCTTAAATAATTGTCTTCCTATCTTTAATAATGATCTGCATATTGCTATAAAAGTTACACAAAATTCACACAAAATTCACATGTAGGCTTTGGCAGTTTTTGATATTATACATAGCAACCGCATAAAATGTCCGCGGACACGTGATTTTAAACCAATCACGGCACTGGATCAGGTGTAACGTGAAATCACGAGAACACGAATTTTTACAGAAAACCATAAAGTTTTTTTCTATAACTTGTATAATAAATTTTGATAAAAACTTTACTTAATTGATTAGTTAGTTATTGAGAAATATCTAAAAAATTTAACCATCCATTACCACATTTGTGTAATTTGAGTATTGACTACTATTTTTAGGGTTATTAATGGAGTGGAATTGGAACCGTTTAACCGTTTAAAAATTGTTCTATAGTTTCGGGCAGAATTATGTTGGTTGTGGGCTGGAATTATTTTAAACTGGCTAAATTAAATGGTTATCACGGTTAAACGGTTAAATGATTAGAAAAATCTTAGGCTGTTTCAACCGTTTTTACTAATTTACCCCCAGGTTTCTGATTGGCTAGATTTGTTTACATGTCATCTTTTTAAAATATGACGCCTTGGCTAGGGTTAGCAATAGAGTTAGAAGGTGCCCCTATACTAAAATTTTGCAAGGAATTTTTTTTATTAGTGCACAAAAGATGGTTTCTTAGGCGAAATTTTGAGATTAATGTGATTTTTCAAAAATCAAGTGATTGTTTTTAATTTTCACGTTACACCTGATCCTGTCCTCTGATTGGCCAGAATCGTGAAACCTGGGGTAAAATTAGTAAATGCGTTTCAACCCCTAGTATGATAATCCGGAGTAGGGTGCGGGAAAAAAAGCCTGGTTGATTTTGGAAAGTTTGAAGGCTATAAAAACAGTGTTTCACAATTGGTGTTTAAGCCGGGATTAGTATATGTAATTAGTATGATAAACACACTTTCAGCAAATGGGTTTCGTTTGTATCTCTCACACGCCTGCTGCCAGTAACAAGTCTTCAAAGTTGACCAGGTTGGGCCCAATCGGGACAGGCCTGGGCCTGACCTGGTCAACTTTAAAGACTTGTTACTGACAGCAGGCATGTGAGAGATACAAATGGAGCCTATTGGCTGAAAGTGGGTTTATCATACTAATTATATATATTAATCTTAGCTTAAGCACCAATTGTAAAATACTGTTTTTATAGCTTTCAAACTTTTCAAAATCAACCAGGCTTTTTTTTCACACCTATATTGGTTGAAATATTTTGATCCAGTTAAATTTATGGTAGTCAATCTAATGCATTGCCTATTCTTAGGTATCAGCAAGTGGATAATAAAACAATGTTTATTATATAATAATAAACTTAGTTGAGATCAACTTATAATAATCAAAAAGCGTATATCAAATATAAAGGTTCCATCAAAAATCGGACGTATTTCATCAAAAGTTGCATATGGTTCAGAAGGATTAATCAATTTTCAACAGATTAATAAAGAGTATTTTATCAAGTATATATTATTTCATGTATGTGAGATATGTTAGAGCTTGAAGATAAAGAAATAATTTTTAATTTTGTCTGTGTATGTAATTCATTAATAAAACAAATAGTCAAGCAAAGTGATCTAGATGAAGCATATACTAGATTAATAAAAATGGCAAAGTTAATTGAGAAACATTATAGTTAATATTTGATATTATCAAATATTCACTTGTCTTTTCATATAAAACAATATTGTCAAAATTATAGTTTACTATATACTTATTGGTGCTATTTTTTCTAATGAATGAATAGCCTATTAGAAACTTACTCAACAAGTAATTGGTCTATTGAACCTAAATTTATGCGCATTCTAATGAAAAATATACAAGTAGAATTTAAAATAAATTCTGTTAATATAGGTGAGGCTAAATTATTATTAGATCAAGTTCTTTCTTTTTAAGATAAAAAGGTGTGTAAAAGCATAAAAATGACTGAAAACTTTAAGTATAAGGATTTGGTAGATTATTTGAAGATGGCAGATAAAATTAATAATGTTAATATAATCACAGATACAGAAAAATATCTGGGTGAGATGATCAGAAAGATAAATAAGAATGTATATACTCCTAATGAATTTTATTAAAATTTAAAAATTATTATTCTACACTATCTAAAGAGCTTTATAGTGATCTTTATGTAACTGAGCCAATATCAATAGAATGAGCTGTTATCCAGTTTGAAAGATTAAAAATTAGTGCAGAAATATATGAATCAAAGATTGCTCCCTAGATATAAAAATTGCTCATATATTAGAGTGAAGTTCATAGCTTATAAAGATAATATCATAAATATATATCTGAGAAAAATACTATTCTTTTTCAATATAAATTTTTGATAATAATATATACCATCTAGCATATGTTTGATGATATTGACTAGATAATATGCACCATTTTACTTATTATTAAAAGATGATAATTGATGTGATATAGAAATTTGGCAAGAAAACTTTTATAAAAATCAAAAGATTGTATAATACCTATATAAAGAATATTAGGATGATTTATACTATCTTCGTATAAATTTAAAAAAGGTAATAATCTAAGAAAAGTATTAGTAGTAATCCTAACAAATAAATGATTTAATATATAATAGACCAATATTTTAATAATTTATTTTTTTTTTTTGTAGTCAAGGTTAGCCTCTTTGGCTCGTCGCTTTTATTAGATTATAGAATCATGTAGTGCTCTTTCAAGGGGCCTCAGACAAGTACATTCTGACAAGGATACATTCTAGCTATATCTGCGCCTTTTGAGCATCTAATTAAGTAGCTACCTATTACTAAATACTACACTAGATGCTGTACCTATAATCCACTATTATTTGGATTACCCAATTAAACCCTCTGATCTGAGTTTCCTATGCCAATCCATCTAACCTCATCCGGGATATGCGATATATTAGTTGGTCCAAGTTCCAGGATCATTACAGACTACCTATAGGACTACCGGTATGGTTAACTGATTCATCCTCAAGTGCATCACCTGCTAGAGCAGTTCGGTACCCACTATTACTGTATTACCTAGTCTACTTTGGTAATTTATGTCTAGGCTGAGACCAAGTACTTGCGAGCCAAAGCTGCTACTATTATCTACTCAGCCCTTGTAGAGTTCACCCAAACCCTAGCACCTCCCCTTCAAGACAATCTGGTACCTTCCTTTACAGTACCCCCTAGCTGGTCTTCCCGGACTACCAATCCAGATGGTCTGAAAAGGATTCCTCTGGTCAACCCAGTGACCTGGTTGGTGGAGTAACTTGCCAGTACTCTTGCCTTGTTCAGTTCTCCAGCCTTGGATAGAGCCTATTCCAGTAGGCACTGTTGAAAGCTTGTGCTATTTTTCTACTCAGATCTTGTCAAGTGGGCTTCCTATAGTGTTATTCATCAGATTTACACGATCTGAGGACTTATTATGAGTTTACGCCACCTTACTGGTTTTGTATCCTCTTTGTATAACTCATACATTACACAAATGCTCTGAAATCTCCCTTAAATCGACCTGATAGTGTAATAGATATTCTTTCTATATAAGGTATAACTGATGTTATAGGATCTTCTTTCTAATATACGAGAGAGTTGTTATTACATGAAAGAATTCAATTTTTTATCATCGGTGGGGATTGAACTCTAGATGTGCTGTTTGGGGAAGTAACAACCCAACCACTTCACTAAGTCACCACACCCCTTATTTTAATAATTTATATATTATTAGACCAATGATATATTGATATTAATTAATAAATAAATATAATATAAATAAATATTTTATAAATTTTATTAACAATATTTAGAT